TGCCTTCAATTGCCAATGAGAGAGTACCCTCAGGACTCCCCCTCCCCCACCATATCTGTGAAGTAAAATGGCTGCTGTTGGTACAGCTCTGCTCTTGGGATAGTGGTCATTTCATTTGGCTCAGAAAGAGGAAAATGTCTGCTCATTTAGGTTGGCTTTGAATGGAGTACGCTGATGGGAGATAAAACCAAGGTGAATGGAAAGGAAGTTTAAAAAAGACCTGGAGGCTTTAAAGCATATAAGCAGTTTGAAACTTATTTGAAAAAGAAACCATTCTAACTGAATTTTTGGAAGGGAAGTTTTGGGAAAGGGAGAATAGTGCAATTTAGAAGTTTCTAATTTTCCACTTTTACTCTTAAAAGCACTGGACAAAATGAAACTTCAGTTAGCATAGTGATTATCTAAAGTTGTGCTCTCCAGAATAATCTCCAAGAAAACAAAAAGTCTTTGCGGAGGTGATTTTGAACTTCTGGGACACTTGGGAAGTTGTCATGGGACTCTACCTAAAGGAAGATCTTTCTGGGCTTCTAGATTTCTTTTCCGAAGTCACTTTTTCCTTTTCTATGTGGGTCAGCCCATGTCCTTTGATATCAGGTATCAGATCAATGGAATTCACATCCTGGAGTGTCACAGCAACCTTATTTAAAATATGCATTTTTCACTTGTAACTTAGAATTAAACTTCACGAGGGAAGGGACTTGTCTCTTGCTCGCCACTTTGTTCCCAATAATCAGAATAGTGTAAATATGCAAGTAACATTTACTCTTACTTAATGTCCATTGTTGGTTAAGTAATAGGAAATCTAAGAATCATAGAAGTTTGAGTGCCTATTGGAAGGAAATTATTTCAGTATAAAATTTGGAGCTATCTCTCTGATTCATTCATCTGTTTCAAGTATAGCAAAATAAGTAACCTTATAATGTTGAGAAAGGGAATAATATGTCTCAGATATGGTGTGTGTAAATTATTTAGCTTCAAGGAATCTTCAGATTATATAGTTCATCCTTCAGACTTTAAAGCTTAGAAAACAGGTTTACTAGGTTATACAGCTAAGGTGTTGATAGGAAGGAGAATTTGTTCTGGTGTTTTGCCAAGCTCCCTGGATATATACAACTCTGCTTCTTAAGCATTCAGTGCATAGAACAAATATTCCTTTAAAATAAATAGATTTTATGCAATTAGATTTCCAAATATAAATGAAAGTAACTAAGAATGTCTTATGAAAGAGAAATAATTCTTATGTTAGTTAATTTTGTTGCAATGTTTCCATATACAAGAGTTGTATAATTAGATGTTGTGTTCCAGAGTCTCTGGTGTTCCTACATGGTTGCATTGTAGGTTATTGAGTATATCTGGATTGTATTACTTACAGCCCCATGCACCATTGTGTGGGCCATGTACGAGCCAGTGTATTTAAAAAAAATTTTTTTTGTTTGTTTTTATCCCTTAGTCTTCTGTTTTTTATAGCTTACTATTTATTTTTGTTTATTGTTGGACATATACCATTTCATTCATTCATACATGCAAACATACATTCAGCATGTATGCTTTATATTTTGTGAGTGGCTTTTATGTGGCAGGCATGGTTACGGAACTAAGGATATAGCACCAATAAAATAGACCCAAGTCCTTGTCATTTTTAAACTTTTAGATTAGTGAGAGTAGAAGGAAGGAAGGAAAGAAAGTGGGAGGGAAGAAAAAAGCAAGGAAGGAAATGAAGGAAAGAAGGAAGGAAGGAAAATGATGGACAGTTAGTGTCAGTATTCAATTTTAGAAGTCTTTGAAAGTAATAATAATAATGAACCAGAACATCCAGTTGTCAAAAATTAGAAGAAAAGATAAAGAAGACAAAGTTATTATGTGTACTAGAGAATTTGTTTTTTTTTGTCAGAAAATTGCTGCTTTCAGACTCCATAAGTAGGTACCGTTATCATTACCCCTGTTTAAATTTATAGAGTGCTATCATGTTACAGGCATTATCCTAAATGCTTTGTTATGTAGAAAATAGGGATTATACCAATGCATTGTACCCATGAGGAGAATAGGACTCTGGGAAATAGCTAGTAAGTTTAGAACTAGGGAGTTCTATTGCAGACTTTATTCTTTCTTTCCCAGTATGGCAAAACAAATAACCTTTATTTATAATGTTGAAGAATCTCCTGATCATGTTTTTCATGTTAATTTGCTCAAACTTTATGATTTTATATTTTTTACACTACCCATAATTCCATTTGTAATAAAAAATTATGCTACATCGAAGTAAACTCAGTTAACATGTAGCTATTTGTTGAAATACTATATTATACACTCTGTGACAAAATATCATTCTGTAAAATTCATTTTATGTTTGACAAATGAATGATATGAATAACTATCATTTTTATAAGGCATATATAATGCTTGGCATGTAGTAGATGAGCCATAACTGAGAATAATGTTATTATTTAGGTTTCTGCCTCATGCATGTGTATGTGTCTGTATACACATATCTATGGATATATATATATATATATATAAATAAACTACAGGAATATGCCTATACAAGTGTTTTCAATGCACAATTTTGTAATCCGATTCAGTAACCTCAGCAGGTATCAGTGCAATGTCCTCAGTTGGACCACTCCTTTTTGAAATTTATTTCCTTTGATATATCTCCAGGATTTATTTATGTATTGAGCTGTGGTTCTCAAGCCTGAGCATGAAGGAGAATCACCCAGAGGGCTATAAAGGCCATTTGCTGGACACAACCCTTAAAGTTTCTGATGCAGAAGCTGTGCATGGTGTTCAACAGTGTATGCATGTTATAGACTCCCAGGTGACGTTGTGGCTGCTGGTGTGTTCACTAACCTCGTCCAACTGCTGCTCCGGAGTAATTTCAGTGACTTCTAATTCTTATTATTCTCTTACATGTCCAGTAGAAAGAGTGTGCTGGCATCATTGATGTTGCTGAATTGACTGTATGGTATTTATAAGGTAGCTTAGAGAAATTTGGTTTGCATATACATCATTGTTGTGCTGTTGATTTGGAAGATTTTTAGAGATTACTTTTGGTTTCCCTCATTTGTAGTAATTATTATATGCCTAGGATAGTCCTGGCAGAGAATCATAAAAACTCAATAGCTGTGTACATATGACCATACAAAATATGATGCTAATTGAAAAGCACTCCAAGACATGGAGACAAAGGTCTTTTTTTTTTTTTTTGCCTTTTTTGGGGGTTGTTGACCTTGTTGTCACCAATGTACTGTATCTAGTTCTTCTTATTTTATTCCATTTTTCTTTTTCCATTGGTTTATCCCTGGCAATTACTGTATTTGATTTGTACCCTGCTTCTTGTATATGCAGTTTTCTGATTTGGGCAAGGGAAGGGGAATAACAGAATGCTGAAACAAGGATAAAGGATGACCCATTGCCTCACAAGACACTATGTGGGAAATAAACTTTACAACATTGGGGGAGGGGGAGGCTGAGGGGGGAGGGGGAGGATAAGGGGAGGGAGGGGGAGGATGAGGGGGGAGGAAAAGGGATAGTTGGAGAAAAACAAAGGAGTAGGTAACAATGTTTGACAAGAAATGTACTCTTATCTTACTCATATAACTGTAACTCCTCTTTACAATAAAATAAAAAAAGATTATTTTCACATTAGATAATCTCAAAGTTAAAGTTTTAATTTGTTTCTATTCATTAGACATAAAACTACATGTGAAGTTTACTTTTTAGGGGAGAAAGTTATGTTTTTTAGGATACTTTTTTCTGTTATAATTTATTTCTGAGAATTCCAGGTTATAAGGATGATATGGCAATTCAAAAATAGTAACAGGAAATTTTACATTCTTAAGTCCTTTTCAAGAGTCTTTTTAAGACTGGAATTTGATGGTTAGTACCAAGTAGGACTTACTGCTTTTCATTCATACTTTAGAATTTGTTCACAATTACATCAACAGAACAATTTACTTTTTCCTTTTAAAGCACAGCTCATACCTTTGAGGATATGATGGTCTAGAGACAAGGTTATTCTCTGAGAGAAGAAAGGCAATCAGAAAATCTTTGTCCATGAGATTAGGCTGAAATGTTCTCTCATTCAGTGATACCGAATGCCTTTCTGTGCCAAGTATCATGCCAAATTGGTGCCAAAGTAATTTCTTTTTTATCAGATACAATGAGTTTTAATCTAATTGTGTGATGAGGCTACTGACAAACTTCAAACAATTGTTTGCTTCATTAATAGAATGTGTTGTGTGTAGGTCCACAGCAGATGCAAGGGTCTGCTGTCTCATGGTGCTGGACCATATCTGGGATCCTACGTCAAGTTTGGAGCTACACCTAACTCTACCTAGTAACAGTCAGGAAAATACTGGATTCATTCCAGAAGGGAGGAGCTTTCTTGATAAAATGTTTGTTGTATTTGTATATGAGGATTGTTACAAAATGGGAGAAATACATTGGCTAGAAAAATGCCTTCGTTGCATTACTAGATCATCCCTGCTATAAGGTGAGAGCCATTGGGCAGAATGTTTTCAGCTTTTCTTTTCAATCACCATATCCTCATTTCTTACACAGTGCCTGGCACAAAGTCAGCAAAAATTGGGCTGGGTCAATTTTGAGAAGAAAGATAATGATAATCTCAAGTGCTCATCATCACAGAGATGGCTTGCTAGGTTCATCACTTAAATTTGCAGGGAGCACCGGGAGATGTCAATGATGGAATTTTCAGGTGGAAAACTTCAGTTTTAGCTAACAACTTTGTAAAACTTAGATATATCTGGTAGCCTTATTGATAAGCTTCTTCAGGGATTTGATTTTGTTTTTGTTTTTATTTTTTCGAAATGTGGATAGAGACTACATAGAGGTTTACTTTTATATCTACTTTTTCATATATATTGTGGGCCAAGATGATTTTAGCTATTGATATTTATGAGTATATGTTTCTTTTTATTTAACATAAAATAAGTAAGTCAACTAACAAAATATTCTAAGGTAGACCTCTCCTGTCTTCATAGATTCAAGCAAGCCAAGGAGCTGGAGCGAGAGAAGGCTGCAGCCAATGAGCAGTTAACCAGAGCCATTCTTCAAGAAAGGATATCAAGTGAGCAGGAGCGCTTGAAGGCAAAGCACCTGGTGAGTCTAAGAATTTTATTAAACATATCTTGCCTTCAAGGAAATCCCTGGTGTTTGGGAAAAGCCTATTTTTAGTGTTGATAATATGTACACATGTTCCCTTGGCTGAGATTTTCTGAAGTTTTGCCTTTTCCAAGTAGCTGACAATTTAAGATTTTTACCACCAAGGTCTTCAAAGCAGGTGACTTCAGAAGTATTGAAGTCAGGACCAGCACACAAATTCATGCACGTTTGTCAGGCCTGGAAGCATATTATTCCTTTGCTTGTTTCCCCTTTACTTTTGGTCTGATTATCTTTAAAACCAGTGGGTTAGCAGCTTCACCTGCCTTCTTCTACTTCTGGCAACTTCCACATGCTAGTTCAGGAGACTTAAGCTGGGTGAATTAAGCTTTAGTTAGTCACTCTCTGTGCTTAAAAAGGCCTTGGGGAATAATCTTTTCCTTGAACTAGCTTTAAGGAAACTAGTTAATGTAGCTGCAACCCCAGGGCTCTCTGAGGAATGGAGAATAAGTGAGACTGTTGGGCCAAATGGTCATTTCTATTCACATTAAAAAAAGCCATCCTGGGCAGAAAAGTATAGGAGACTCTTATCTCCAATTAACCTGCAAAGCTGGAAGTGGAGGTATGGCTCCAGTGGTAGAGTGCCTGTAGTAGGAAGACCCCTATTCATGCAGGCAAGCCCACCTAGTCATCTGGAGTGACAGAGCCCACCACAAAGTTGTTAACAAAGAAGCAACTTTATTGAGAAGATTCCTACACTGACCAGTCAGGGCCGCAGCACAGGCTCGGAAGCTGATACTGCGACCCCCAAGCAGCCCCCGTTCTTTGGTTTTTAAAGGCAAAATCCATGAGGTCAAGCCTGGTCATGTGCAGGTGACCAATGGGATCATAACACACACAAAGGATTGTATAGTCATACCAGACCACACACAGGTGGCTAACAGGCGGAGTTTACCGTAAGCATGTGCAAAGGGCAGGGTTTATGGGAAGCGCGTGGTGTCACCAGTTGGAACTAGATTCAACCTATCTGTTTTGTGGATCAGTCTTTATCTCAACAATCAAGGGTGGTTAGGTTGTTAAGGGGAGGGGGACCAGATGCATTTTTTCATTCCGGGAACTAGGCCCATCAAGTCTAAAATCCCTAAAACAAAGGCAAAGCTCAAAATGGAATCATACCGGCTGGGGCTCCGTCTCAGGGTCCACTTCAGTGCCAACCTTGAACAAAAAAGCCAATGAGAATTAGAGACCCCTAGTGTAAGTTCTTGTGCATGGGTGTGCATATGCTCTCTCTCTTCTCTCTCTCTCTCCCTCTCCCCCCCACCTCTTTGTCCCCCATCCCCTCCCCACCCTCCCCACCTCACACACACACACACACACACACACACACACACACACACACACACACACTTTTATAATGAACAGAGAGTTAATACTGTTCATGTTTCAGGATGGAAGAGGAGAAAAATTTTCATTTTCCATTGGATAGAAGAATCCTTGGTTGGCATTTTTCTCTGTTCTTCTTCATCTTATGACCTTTCGTATCATATTCTTTAAACATTCTTTCTGTTGGCTCTTCACCTGAATTTAGATAGACTGTCTTATTCACTTTAACATTTTTTTAAAAGCTCATTAAATATGCTTGAGTGTGAACACACATGCATATAGCAAGGCATGAAAAGAAAAAACTTTTCACAAAAAGATATTTTTACATGGAACAACAAAATGTTGCGTAATGTGATATGGTTAGAGCAGTGTGTTTTCGGCTTTCTCTTTTTACCTAATAAATCTTAAATACTTGTGCTCTTTTTAAAATTTGTTCAAACTTAGGAAACTAATATTGTCCATTCTGGGATTGTATCATATAGTTGACAAATTACAGTGCTCACAACTCCTGAATTCTACCATCTATCATAATATTGGCCAAATAAAGTACTCAAAGCACTTAGGGAATCCAAGTGGAATTTATAAGGCTGGATAAGAACTGGTTCAGAGGATGTTTTCCTGTGTTTAATGTTCTTGGATGTTTGGGTGGTATGTTGTGGCCACAGCAACATAACTGCCTATGGCATTTAGCTACTAGAAAATTCCCAACTTATTTATTAACTTTCTTCCTTATTGTTGCTTACTATTAGAGAAGATATATACATGTATTGGATAAATCAGAAAATCAATTTTAAACAGTACTGAAATCTTGAAAATTTCACAATTCAAACATAATTTATGTTAAAAATATACTTTATTTTACTTTTTATCAAATTTGCATAAGACACATATGCAGTAGGCACTGCTGTTGGGGACACAGAAGTGAGGGAGATCTGGTTGTTTTTCTGAGTCTCAAGTCTTTGTGGGGAAGATCGTTCTTACCTTGGGTTTTCTTTTACATATGTTTTTTAAGTTTTGCGTTTATAAGACCTCATACTGTTTTAGAAAAACATAACATTGAAAAAAGTAAGCAGGTAAATGCATAAATTTAGTTTTTGCAAGTTTAAGTGATTTTTCCCCCCCACCAAAATGTCACTTTTCATCCCCAGTTTCCTTTTTGTCTGAAATGCACCAGTGAAGCAATCAAGAAGAATTGATTAATTTTGTGCTGTGTGCTTTTCAGTTCTATGGGGTTTTTTTGTGCTTCAAACTGTGACAGTTGAAATTTCATGGTAAAACAGAAAAAGGTTTTGGATGTAAAGCATGGAGAAAAAATGACTAAATTAAAGGATGTAGGTAAGAATATCACTGCTGTCCAAGTGTAAGTAAGGTTCTGCTGAAGGGCAAAGGATGCAGCTGGGCTTGTGATTTTGAAATGATCAACAAGATTCCTGCTTAAAAGTTCTGTGTAAAATAACAGTGAGATTCATCACGTGGATTGTTCTGTATTACAATTAGCCAGGTGAATCAATTTGCCAGGGAACAGTGGTTATCCTGGTTTATCTTTTTTCTTTAATTGGGCACTTAACAGTAATTTAAATATTTTTCCCTTTCTTTGTGTGTGTGTGTGTGTGTGTGAAATTCAGTACTTTGTTTGTAACCTCTGTTTCAATTTTCCCTCTGGTCAAATGAGCTGTGTGCTGGTCTTCTTGCCATAGAAACGAAGCTCCAGTTATTTGGATTTGCAGAGAGTATTAGTTTGCTTTGATTGCTGGAAATTAAGCTAATGATTTTGGGCTTTTGCTTTTGAGGACTGCATAAATGCACATTTCCACCTTTTGTTTGAGGGATTTGAGCTGGTGAGGGTTTAGAATGTCTTTCTCAAGGTTACTGCTTGAGAACTAGATTTGGTCTCTGTCTCCAAGTCCCGTTCTTTATAACTCTTCCTCAGTGAAACAGCACCTCCGCACAGGTGAGGGCAGAGGCACGTGGTGCCCATTTGCTTCCTGTGCTTTTGGGTTCAGCAGACCATACAGTTGCTAAGACAGAACATAGCTGTGTTCTCTTCTCCTGTTCTTTGTCATTGCTTGTAATACTGCTTTCTGTATTATAGCTTTATGATTGTCAGATGGAACACCACAACCCAATGAAGAAGTTCTTAATGAGATATTCTGTGGAGTGGCAGGACAGTTTCTTCAGTGGAGAAGGGGAAGCGTGTTTTGTTTCAGTGTGTCAGCACAATGAAGGAATCGTTGTGCAGAGTACAGACTTAACATTGCTTGCATGCATACTGACAATTGACGCAGATGGAGATATTTCTTAAACGTGCCTTCTCATTTGGGTGCCTTAGAGAAACATATATTGTTGCTCTGATACTAGAGGGCTTGTAGTAGATAATAGTGCATATTCTGGAGGTGGAGATTAAATTTTACTGTCAAGATTGGGGAACCAATCCAGAGAACCCAATGTAGAACCCATTGCAGTTCACATAAGCTGCCTTTTACCCAAGTGCCTGTCTCAGACTGTGTGACCTTGTTGACAAAGTGATTAGAGAAGAAGACAACACAACCGAGTAGAATGCTATTGAAATTCTTGCCGACATTAATCATATTTAATGACAGCTGTGGGGAGCAACTCTGCTTAGAATGTGTTGTCATGTTTTCATTTTAAATGTGCTTTTAGAAATTCATCAAGTTGCTTGCAAACTGGTTGGCTCCGGGCAAGTCTTGGTGAGTAGTGTCCTATGTGGTAGCCCTGCCACGAATAGCTTATTGACAACCTATCACTTGAGTCATTACGGGTGTCCAGGTGAGATATGGAAAGCACTGAGTAAAAATCCATAGGTAACTAAAGTGCAAAGGGCTAGTTATAATTCCATCTCTTCATAATGACTTGGCATTTATTGTTAATATATTTGCTTCCTGGCCGGGTTGGAAATGAACTGTCATTAGGGCCCTGAAATTTTATTGAACCGACATCATAATCTCATTTCCTACTGAAGAGGCTAAGAAATATCACCCTTGCTGTTTGCTTTAACCTGTAACAAATTAAAAGTTTAACATAAGCACAATCAAGTCTGTCAGTCCTTACAGACCCTAACTAAGGGTTTTGTACATTAGGTTTTGAATGAGACTTGAGGACCGATGAGCTCTTTCTTCTTGTTTCAGCAGCCAAGCTTTCCAGTTTGCCAGCATGGCAAGTCTCACAACTGTCACTTCCAATACCACCCTGTGAATTGCTTTCACCTTATAGTGTATGGACCTATGGCCTAGTAAATTCAGCAGGAAATTGAATAGCAGTTTACTGTGTGATATATACCATGTGCAAGCAGAGTTACTTCATCTTTGTGACTTGGACATTAACGAACATTCCAGCTCATAGTTATTTCTTTACTGTATACCTGCTTTTATTGTTTAGACATGATTTCAAAATGGAACTTAGTTATGCCCTTCCTGTGTTCTTGACGATCAGAAATATGCTCTGCTGATGTGCGTGTATGTGTGTGTATATGTGTGTGTGTGTGTGTGTGTGTGTGTGTGTATTATGAAGGGGAAATAACTCTGGGGCTATTCCCTTGTGGCCCTAAAGACATTCACCATTTTGTCCAATATGACTTACTCTTCTCTTTTCTTTGCTAA